ATTGAAGATGGAATTGCCCCTAGTAACACCACATTATGATGATCAATGATATAAGAAATCTACCGGTAATTCTGATTAGGCAAGATTTATAAATACTATCTCCACTGTAAATGTCAAAGAACAACATCCTCAAAGTGCAACCATACCGCAGTCATAGCAACAGCTGTTAGCATTGATACTGATAGATTACTGTGCAAATTCTTACATATGTACAAGATGACCAGGACTTCAACAAGTGTAAATGACATAAAACAGTTCTGGCGATGTGAAAGAAATGATGACAAACTGCCCCATTACAAAGCTTGCTTCTACTACAGTACATATTGCTGTGTCTGTCTACATATCTGCACCATGTCTTACCTAATGGTGGGATCGCTATGTGACGTTACCCAGATGCCAGCGAACTGGTTGGAGTGGATTTTGTTGTCGATGAACTGCCCGCGGCCCTTCTCGTGGACGTAGATGCCGCCCGTCTGCCCGTGGTGGATCTCACAGTTCACCACCGTGGGGTTAGCACCAGCCTTCACCTCGAACCCCGCGATCCTGTTGTGGTGGATGTTACACTGCTCAAAATAACCCTGGAGGGAAAAGAAAATTGAAGAAAGGTTGCAATGTGCTCTTGTGGTAAGGGTTGTTAACTCAGATTCTGGGTTCAAATCTCTGGCAGACCTTGGGAAAGGCACTTTAAACCTATTTCTTCACATGATTCAGGTGAAAATGAGTACCTGGCTTCACAGTTCAGTTATGAATGCCCTTGCAGTGTTGGATTGCTACATATACATACAAAAGACCTGTTAAACCTAACCTTTGCACATCTAACTGTAAGCATTGTTTAAAAACTATCTAGTGAGGATGCCCAACTGTACTTGGTCAGGTGGTAGCAAGTTCCACTCTACAATAGTTCTAGGGATAATTGAAGTTTTAGAGTTTTTGAACACCTAATTTGGTTGGTAACTCTGGTACTTGAAGGCAAGAAGAATATTCCTGCCTTTCTTAACACTAAGGAATTTTACAGACGCTGAACATACCATCCCCTTCTCGAACGTGAAGACGCCGACGTCTCGCCCGTGGTGGATGTGGTTACGTCTCATGATGGGGTTAGCGTAGTTCTTCACCCAGATCCCAGCCAGCGCGTTTCCACTGATCTCACAGTCTTCAACAAAGCCCTGCAGTGAACAACGAAATATGTGTTACATATCTACAAGGCCAATCATTTATGTAAAACCTTTTTGTTATTTCAGATGTTCAATTCAACAGGAAAATTCAAAACTCTTCTTCAATGATATTACACATTACCACGGTACATGACCATATGACAACTTATGGTCTTTAACATCGTTACATGATATTCTGGCACAAAATGGGATGCTAATTGCTTTGAACTAAGTAATCAAACATCAAAGCTATTAGCATAGAGCTACAGTTAAAATATCATGTAACTTCAGGGATCTCTTAAGGATGGCATGATGGTGCTCCCCAGTTATGCCGTAATCCTGGGACCATCATGGTGATTTTCAAAAATTTCTCTTTACAAATCTCTTTAAAATATAATTTTTGATCAGGTAAGAAGCCAAACATCTAGGAAATGGCCTCAAATTGTTTAAATTGTCTTTAAAAAAAGAAAAATGATTATCCCAAGCACTATACCGCTCTAAATTTCCGGAGAGATCCATAAACTTGACAAGTAAAAGGAAGAGTACAGAATGAAGCAGACCTGTGCATGATCTGTGACGTAGAGTCCTACATTCTCACAGTCGCTGATGTTACAGTTGCGGATGGTGGGCTGGGCACCGCTTCCTGTCACACACACCGCTGAACCAACTGTCAGACAGATGGACAAAACTCAATTAACTCAAACATCCAATCAGCAGAGTCTGTTATGACTGAGAATTACATATAAGATTGGGATATAATGCTACTGTAATTCCTGATTTTCTCATGCTATTTTTATGTGAACAGTTTTCAGTCACTTCTGTACTATGATCTAATTATTACCGTTACCAAATTATTTAGTCTTTCACACTCTTCCAAGCGCTGAAAAAATGCAACTCTGTACACCTCAGACATTTTAACCTTCTCCCTGTGGCCTAAACCCATTAACAATAGAGAATTGGTAGCCAATTAACAGCTTCCTCAGTGTTATAAAGGTTAATCACCAAGCAAGTTGACAGATGGTGCCTCACCACTAGGGCAAGGTTGACAACCACTCAGGACAAGCGGTGAAAGTGCTGTAATGCCTGATTTTTTCATGGTACTTTCATGTTCGCTGTTTTTACAGTCACTGCAGTACTATGAACTTATCATTATCATTATCAAATCATTTGTCTTTTACCCCTCTGTTCTGTGAACATGTCTATTTTCCTCAGAACTTGAAATTCTGTTACGAAGTGAAAGCAGTAGTTGACAGACCTGTGGAAGAGCTGCGGATGATGGAGTTACTGATGATCGGTCGGCAGTTGGTGTTGATTTCCACCGCGTGGTGCGCATGGTGGTGGGTGGCCGAGGAGTCCTCTGGGGAAAACTATGAACAGAAGAACAACAAAAAGTAATCAAACCAAATAGTGCCAATTAATGTCTTTTGTTCAGTATCTCTGATTCATATAAGAGTCTTGCAAGAAACCACTAAATTGCGCTGAAGGGTACATCAATCCTAAGTCATTATCAAAGTAAGTTGTTACCAGGTTGTATAAAAAAAAATACAAATCTGGTTTTATTAAAAAAATTACATTGACCAACAAAGTGTATATGTGTGTAGCTGTCTTCACAACAGCAGATTTTGGCTGTGTACATCTCTTATGCAAGAACACACAACTACATGTACAAACACTACAGGACTTTTCAACTAAAAGAATACGGATTCCTTGGAAGAAATAATCAAGTACTCACTCTGATTGTCATGAATCCTACAAAAGCGTCCTCGCATCCCTCCATGAACACAATACTGGAGTCTCTGGTGTTCTCTATCACCACATGTTCAGCCACCTTGCCTGGAGCTGTGGGGGAAAAATACACCTAGACATCAGCAAAGGACCTTTGAAACATCATTTGTCTGTACATCATAATCTAGAGGACAAGGATTTGACACAAGAGAATGTGTTCACTTTTGAGAAAGTCATCAACTGTCAAAAGAAAGACTTGCCAAAAATGCAGTGCACACTCTTAGTTTAAGTCGATGAAGGTTAGACATTTAGGTAATACCAGTAAGATACGCCAAGAAATAGTTACTCAAGCAACTGCATATGATGTTGGACACCGTCTCCAAAATCATATCCAGTTGCTTGAATAACTGTTTCTTGGCACTCTTGGTTTAGCTTGATGTTATAAGATAAGTACTTCATATTCTACCATCTCCAACACTTTGAAACTTTTGCATATTTTCTAGTTTTTTAATTAAAATGAAGTTCTTCTGCCCTCACCTGCCCCGATGATGGTAACGGGAGATTCCACATAGATCCACTCGTCCTGGTAGATCCCAGAGTGGACGAAGATCAGACCTTCATGGTGACATTCATTCACTCCTCCCATCGCATCCTCAATGGTGTCATAATACTGCAAGGAAAAAATTCTCCATTGAGCATACGTATCTTAGAGCTGGTTTAAGTACCAAAGGGCTGGTTAGGGATGACCTCTTTGATGTAAACCCGGAGGTCCTGTGTTTCAGGAGAGCTACACCTCGAGTATGTTGAAGATCCCACTGCACTTATTGAAAAGACTTGAAAAGAGGAGTTCTTCCTGGTGTGAGTAGTTTAAACCTCACTGTCTGGTATTACACTAAGACTTACAATACAGAACTGGTGTGTTACAGATAAAGGCAGTTTATCAGTTATGCAACACAAAACAAATACCAATTAAACGTGACACTGATGATATCAACATGAACATCAAAAACTACAATCAGATGGATTTTTCTACGCATAACCTTTGACTTGGGCTATTTTCAAAATGATGAAAAAATGAAAATTCCAATGAGCTTTAGAAGCATAGACTAACCTTTTAGGTAATTTTTTCCACAGTACAAAGACATATATACTGTGTATTGTACTCACCAACATGTGTTCTCTGCCCTTGTAGCGGTCAGCATTGTTGTGATAGTGTTCAGCATAACCAGGCTTTACGTGGACACCTTTGTACTGTGTAAAACACAGAATGGTACAGCTAATAAGTAACTTCTATAACAGGAGTACCCTACACAACAATCTAATACATACAACAAGGAAATACAGCTTGTGTCCATGGAAGTTGTTGGTCCTTACCAATTGGCGGAAGCTGTCCTTCCATGGGTTGGGACAGTTATATTCCTCTGGCTTCACAAAGTAGAATTTCCCATGCTCTGGATGCATCATGGGCTGGGTATATTCAAACACTGCTGTGTATAGATTTTTCCTGAAAAAAAAGGAAAAAAAAACATTTGATACCAGGCATATGAGGTGGAAACAATGAAAAATTACATTTCGTAACTAATAGACATCATTTTTCTTATCACTATTGGTTTTTACCCTTCTTCCTGCTGCCTAACCCCATAACCAATATAGAATTGGGAAAAACCATTGCATGATGAATAGATAGATCATTTATACAGATATGTCATTTCATGACAAACAGATCATTTATATAGATATGTCATTTCATGATGAATAGATATATCATTTGATCGCTATTGGTCTTTAACCTTCTTCATGCTGCCTAACCCCACACAGAATTGGAAGCCAAGTGGCTATTTCAATATGCTAAAGGTTAAATATTCAATGGTACAACACTATCACATACGTTTTGTTCACCTTCTCCCTGCTACCAAATCCCTCAACCTATACAAATTTGGTGTTAAACAGCAACCTCAGCAGGGTGAAGGTTAAGGACAATAAAGAACAAAATGCTGTTGTAAGGAAGTTGAGAAAGAGTTGTACCATATTGTGGGGTCGTTGGTGAGGGTGTTCCAGCGCTTGCAGACCTGCGCAGCTCGACACAGGTCCTTCTCCTTCAGATAACTCATGATCTTCAGCAGGACCTCATCAGGCACCTCCTCCTGCAGCCAGCTGATTAGGGGGCCTTGGCAGACAGACACACACACACAGTTTAGATACAACTTAGGGGGCCTTGGCAGACAGACAGACAGACAGACAGACAGACAGACAAACATTTTAGATACAACTGAATGAATTTAAAGTATTTGTCATTGGATAGGTACCCAACAAAGAGCATTCAAGCCATGAAATCGGCACTAAAGGTCCTGAACAATAATTCACTTTTATTTACTTTCAAGACTTACAGAAGCTTTAGAAAAGGTTGGTACAAAGAACGTAGTAGTTCATTATAATACCAGCTGATACAAAAAAAAAAGACTGGGATTTGTAAAACTAGCCTTTCTTTCACCTATGTTTCAGAAAGTATTGGAGGTAAAAA